TGTTTTTACAAACAAAAAAAAATTGATTTTCTTGGATGAAAGATCTCCGCCGAAGATGGTAGATCGGAGTAGAGAAAAATAGAGGCGTTGATAAAAATTTCGTCCGAAAAATGTTAAACAAGTCAGGCTTTGGCCGAGCGGGTTATCATTAGTGGCTGATTTGCTGGACTCAATTTTTTGAAACTGAAAGTAAAGTAAATGTTTTCCAAGGTTAATCCGTTCCTTTCCATGATCCTTAATAAATTTTGTTTTCCAAGGTTGAAATTATACCGTTTTCCAAGGTTGAAATTATACCGTTTTCCCAGGTTGAAATTATACCGTTTTACAAGGTTGAAACAATACCTTGTAGCATGGAGTCAGCATACTTCCATGGTCCTTAATAAATTTTTTCCAAGGTTGATCCTTTCCTTTCCATGATCCTTAATAAATTTTGTTTTCCAAGGTTGAAATTATACCGTTTTCCAAGGTTGAAATTATACCGTTTTCCAAGGTTGAAATTATACCGTTTTCCAAGGTTGAAATTATACCGTTTTCCCAGGTTGAAATTATACCGTTTTACAAGGTTGAAACAATACCTTGTAGCATGGAGTCAGCATACTTCCATGGTCCTTAATAAATTTTTTCCAAGGTTGATCCTTTCCTTTCCATGATCCTTAATAAATTTTGTTTTCCAAGGTTGAAATTATACCGTTTTCCAAGGTTGAAATTATACCGTTTTACAAGGTTGAAACAATACCTTGTAGCATGGGGTCAGCATACTTCCATGATGGGTAACTGCTAAAAGTATAAAAAGCAGTTACATTTATTTAATTTGAGATTACTAAGTTGTTGATGTATTATAGATGCAGAGGAGCCGAAGTCCGATGATAGGAGTTTCGAGAACGAAACACTGGTCAGTCCGGCCGTGTTAGATTCGTGCAATATTCAAGACGCCGCCACTGCCTAAGCCATACTTGTATCTTGGATATTGGATACACACACATACGCACTCGACGAGTGGAAGACCGAAAAATCGAAAAGACACTTATAATCGACGTGGGTTCATATGCACACGTCCGACGCCCTTTGAATTTTAATTAATAACGATTGTTAATAACTTTTTGGGTATTAATACATTTTATAAGAAGTGATTCAGTGTTTAATTTGGTGAATGTTTATATTTGAATAAAAGACGTATTATTTTATTTAAAAAAAAATCCAGTGGCTTGAATAAAATATAAACTAATAATTATTAAAACAAAAACGATCAATTAAATCTTAAAATATATATATTTCGAATGTCTTTAAATCGTTCACTATTTATATTCACCACTGTTTATCTACTAATGATTTTTTTGTTGGTCCTCCACCAATATTTAAATACAAATTGGTGATCTAGAATGCTCCTCCGCCAAAATATCTCATATCCGGAATAGATCAGAAACGTTATCACGATGACTCAGGAATATTCGCGAAAGTGCCTCCGACATTGTCGTCACATATGTTTAGTCTTAAGGGGTTTAATTATAATAATCGGACAAGTTGAGCCTCAAAGGCCAAGTAAGACGGAGAGGGACTTGAAGGATTAGAGCTTGACTGAATATGAAATGGCTCACATTAAAATAATTTTATACCTATTGTGCTGCAGACTCGATTCGATTCTCAAACAGGTACATCGATGCTCAAACAGGTACATTATTTGCGCTTGTTCCACTTTATATTTTGAGAGAGGAAATTTGGAGAGTCCCTTCATTTTAAATCGATTGCCATATTGCCAATAAATAGTGCACTTTTGTTCATACCCATAAGGGGATATCTACCTCCGTTGAGAGTTGCAATTACCATATTATCTCTGATAGGCACTTAACTCTGAAAGTGGGTTGGCAGGAAATTGCAAACAACTATTAAGTTAGATATAATTAATAACAATTTATAAGCAAACCGAATGTAATTATGTATAAAATAGTCCGTTCAGGGCCACCAATGTTTTTACCAAAGCATTATTTAATAAACTACCATTTCCAAAATTTGCTTTGAGTTGTACTTTGACTTACTTTCTTGTTTTTGCTACTTATTTACAAAAATAAATCTGAATCTTTAGTTATCATAACTAATATGAAATTATAATTATTATAGAAAATATTTTTACAATTTTTAGTATAATTAGTCAGGCCCACCAACAATATCATTCAAAATCGAAAAACTATTAGATTAATCCAATAATTCAAAATTAAGCCCTTATTTATTGCAAGCATTCATATTGTTTCATATTAGGCAGACAGAGCTGTCGCTTCGGCTGCCGCATCAGAAAGAGCGAGCCGGCTGCTAAATTGAGTGGGGATGGTTTGTGCGAGCTTGTTTATCTGAGGTGCGAGCACACGGTTTATGAATGAACCAGGTCGTATTACTATGATTCCTGCTTTACACCGTTACCACACTGTAAATAAATGGAGTACTTTCCTGCAAATCACCTTAAGCTACAATACAAAAAAAAGACATTAAACAGTTAATAACACTGGCACTAAGAATGCAAATATATTTCCTCAATGTAATTTTTAAAGCCTTTTGTGCGTTTTAAAGCCTTTTGTGCGTTTTAGAGCATTTTGTGCGTTTTAGAGCCTTTTGTGCGTTTTAGAGCCTTATGTTAAGTCAATTCCGAATTATAACCATAAACAATCCTTGCAACAAATTTCTCCCATAACAATTTGGCAACTACGTGAATAGCACCATAAATGCTTGCTGTTTTGCAATAGACGTCGATTTCTCTTCCTTCGGATCTTCGTCCCTGCAAATGCGGGATTAACTTCCTTTCAGCGTGAGCGAATGTAGGACTGTAGATTTAAGAATTCATAGAATGTATGATTTTTTCTTGGGGCTCTGCTTAACACTTATTGGGAATGTTGAAATAAAAATGATTTCTTCAGTTGACTGGTTTTATTCAACACTATAGACTTTATATTGTTTTACTACATAACAACTTTACACTGCTAATAAGATCTTAAAATCTATAACGACTGTGCATGTTTGAAAAATTTAAATTGTTTTAAAATAAAGACAAAGTGCTTGTGAATGAATAAAAGAAGTTGCTCAGTTGCTAGTCTGAGAGTGTCTCATAGTTTTTAGTTTGTCTTTCGAGTGTGAAGAAGTTTGTGCCTATGTGTTCTGATGTGAATTATAGTTTTTTGATTGGCTCTAAGAATATATCATGATATTTGCAATTGTTTTATGCTGGAAAGAGATAGCACTTGTTTTGCAGCTTCTGAATGCACACATGTTTTTGTTTTTAACGACTTAGTTTAACTATGCTACTACAAGGGCAAAAGAGATAAAGTTTCGAGTTAGAGAGAGAGAGTTGGGACATCAAATAAATTATTGAAAATTTTCCATGAGGGAGATAGATATAATCTATGTTTTTCTAGGAACTAGAAAACCATTTTTGCTATCAGGGCTGGCTTTGATATTGTGAGATTTATTAAATTCATAGTGTAATGTACATATTTAATTATAAAATATATTGTTGTTTTTATTTACTATATATTATTTATACGGGGTGGATCAAAGAGAATAACTGGAGTACCTGTGAAAAAATGCTAGTCATTTTTAAACACTTGCATTTTGGTTTGGTAAACAAAATTATTCTAGTAGTTATTTGTCATTGGTGTATCGCTCATAAGGAAATGATAACAATTTGATACTAAATCGCTCGTGTTTGTTTATCTTTAAAATCATTATTAATCTTATTAATTATCCTGAGCTCTTGATGCAACTAAATTTTTAAGTGCCTTGTCTTACCACTAGAAACAATTTGCCTTTACCTATTTCGAGCTAGAATTAATTTAATGGTAAAATCTCCTGTATACACCATTTGAAAAACTTTAGTAACATATGCAATAAAATAGATGTATATGGTGATAAAATTGGTAATTAAAAACAATTTAATTATACCTATTCTAACTTAAAATTTATATCTCAATTTAATTATATTGTTAATTTGTTTTCACTTTTATGTGCTTCTTATTAGTATACAAATTTATAAATATTTCTGTACAAAGGTTTAAACCTGTTAGACAATAAATATATAAATGTATTTTTTTTAAACAACTATTTCAAATTTTAATTTGTGCACGTCAAATAGCCTCAGTGACAGGACAGAGACATGCAAGACTGACAAAAACAATGGAATACAAGAGCTCTGTTAAAAATTAATTTTAATACTCCAATTTAATTTCATCCTGTCCTGAATAAGCCTAATATAAATTCTCAATTTAAAGCCGGTAGGTGAGCTGTTACTGTATCAGAGCCAGACCAAGGTATTTGCAAGACACTTACTACATCCAAAAAAATATGTCAACATGACATCTTCATTACATCTATGCACTTTATTTTCTTTTCTCCAAGCACAAAATTATTGATATACTTTTGCCTATCCATCAACTGATTTCATTGGAATTATTTCATTAGATTTTTGTAAAAAAGTCATATGGTGGGGAGAGTTTAGGTTAGCATTCATAACATGATTGTAGTTGTATTTTATTTCAATATAGGGTGTTCCGATATTTGACCGATAAGTCCCTACAGCTGAGAGTCCTCCTTACTTGATAAAATGTAAGTTTAGTTTCTGAGATACATGTTGTTGAAATTTTATAATAAAAAATATAATTATATACTTTGAACCACCTAAAAATATAATTTTTATGGTGACATGACAATGTACTCTTAAATATTACCTATATGGCAAAGACCCCGCCTCCTACATGTTTTTAATTTGTCCCGCTTCCTACTTAACTGATAACTGACATTATTTCTTATAGACATTCAATGGCTGTGATTATTGATATAGAACTGGGATTAAAATCTATTGGTTGTCATACAAATAACTATAATTCAATTAAACCATATATAGTATATTAATTGGTAATTATTATTTGTAGCACATAGTTTATTTAAACAGTAAATCAAAACTATTCAGCGATGCCTACTGTTTTTAAAATATACCTATGCACTCTTAAAAATAAATTTACCTCCTGAAGTAATTGTTTCGGCAATTTTGAAACACAGAGATTTAAAGCAGATATGATCTTTGTAACATCTTGCTTATTGCCACCTGGTCCAGTGTCACTTGGTATATTTGACTGGGTTTCTTTAATATGTTGTGCATCTACTTCATTGGTTTCAGTGTTAACAATACACACTTTTACTGAAGTTGTTCCTATATCAATCCCAAGATTGTACTTTCCCATGACTTTTCTAAAAAATGCACTCGTTTGTGATGAAATATTTACTATTATTTCACATATATATTTACCTTTACACAGAAACTTCACTAAAATGTAATGTGGTGTAATAATTCTACAATATCATATGTTCAATGTGATTATTTTATATATTCTCCGCTCATATGACGTAAAGCTTCCTGATGATACATTTACACACCACGTGCTTATTAAAAATGTAAACATGCGGGGAGCATATAAAAGTTCAAAGCTCCAATCTTGAAAGAAGTGGGCATAACAAATTGTACTGATTGTAGTCTTGCGACCCACACATTTGATATTAGAATCACGAGTATTATAATTTATAATGATGAACTGGGCCTGATCAGAGACAATCCAGCGCCTGATGTAACAATTTCAGTGAGCTAGGAAGAGGTAATTTTTATCTATTTATAGAGCTCCCGCTGAAAACGTTTAAGATTATGAAATTTGTTTTTTATAAATCTTTTGTTGTAATTTTTCAGTATTCATTTTTTGTTACTCATTTCCATCTCATTTCTCATATCGATAATAGTTCATAAATAACATAAAGGGGTATATTCTGTAACAATTCCTTTATATTTTAACGGCCGTTAAAATATTAAAGGCCTTTAAAAAGAGTTTCGTATTCACTAACTTACTTCTGTCATTATTTAAACAGATTCCTTTAAAATAGTCCTCTAAAAATAATTGTTTTTAAAGGGATGTTAAAATTCACCTTTAATTTTTAACGGAACTGTTGATGGCGTTTTATAATAAAATTGGAGAAAGTTTGATTGAAGTCGAGTTACTGGAAAATGAAGAAAGGTATAAAGTACGAAACATTTATATGTAATGTAGGTAGATATATCTATTACATTTAATACCTACTTCATTGCCAAATTTCGATTACATTTAAAGGTTAATTAGGGACTTGAGCGATCCATTTCAGTCACCAAATGTTAATTTTAAAAATATTTTTCGGTTCAATAAAGATGTGACCAGAACTATAGTTAATATTAAAAACCACACATGTTGTCATGTCAAAGAAATACGGCAATACCAGCATATTTTAAAAGTACTTGCAACCCTACATTTTTTTTTGGAACAGGAGGATAGAGGATACCAATTCTATCTACAGGACAGGCATGTCCTTTTTCTTTTAGTCAATCAATTGTATGAGTAGAAGTATAGATGAAGTGAAAATATAATTTACAATAACCTATTACCCAATTGGAGTGTATTTTCTGAATCTGAGAAAATAATAAACAATTTCAAGACAAATATAATTTTCCTATTATTGATTGCACTCATATTGCCCCCCGGAGGATTATCCAAGTTTGCCATTTTACTGGAGAAACGGTTATAACAAACTGTCAAATAATTGCAACAGTGATTTAAATATAATAAATATGAATACTAGATTTCCTGGATCCACACATGATGCAGCAATTTGGCAAGCTGCAAATGTAAGGGTAACCATGGAAAATCTCTATACTACAGGAAACAATAATTATGTCCTTTTAGGAGATTCTAGTTATCAATTGCAACCTTCTATTGTCCATTTGAAAATCATAGAAAATAGCCCAGAAAGTAACTATGAACAAGGAATATCATAGAAACCTACTTTACGAGGTCTAAAAGGAAGTAATTATGCACATTTGTTAAAAATATCCATTTTGTAGATACAACCTCTTGTTTTAGCACAGCATGGCAGTGCATAATCGTTTTTTTTTATTTGATTTATATTCTATTTGAGTATTCGTATTAATATTTGTTAATCCATACTTACTTCATAATAAGTGATCCTGTATCGTTGTAAAATAAAAAAATCATGCACATTATTGTATTTATTGAGTATAAAAACATTAAAATGGAAATAAATAGAACTATTAATTTTTTACAAAAAAAAAAATAAATATTCTGATGAATAAAAAAAATAAATATATATTCTGGTAAATAAAAAAAATAAATATATATTCTGGTAAATAAAAAAAATAAATATAATTCTGGTAAATAAAAAAAATAAATATAATTCTGGTAAATAAAAAAAATAAATAGATATTCTAGTAAATAAGATTTTCTAGTAAGAAAAAAAATAAATATTCTATTAACAAAATTGTATAATATACAATTATTTTTTGCTAAATTGTTAATTGATTTTGCCAGAACCCTTATTGACTTGGCAATGGCAAAATTGGATTGGCTTAAGATTTTTAATTGTTCATCATGGGTGGTCATTGCCATCTCTGTACGGTTTCTGGTTGTTAATCTCCTTGGTCTAATCCTGGTTTTGCGAGTCTGTCTCATTTTTTCAACAATAATTGGTGGTTGAACATTTTCATCCTAAAAATAATAGAAGGGAGTCACTTTAATCTTTCAATTTGTGTATACTACTACTACTACTATATAATAATAATACTCCCTACAATTCACCCCTTACACGAGTAAATCTTAACCCCATAGGCCATGGCACACTAGGGTTACCAGATGAAATCCTATCCATATAAGTTTTTAAAAAATTCGGACGTTATAAATTTTTTTCTGAGAAAGTAAGAAATGTGATATTTTTCACATTATTTACTTTGACATGGTTCTACAAAATAAAGCAAAAAACAGACAACAGAAAGTTACAAGGTTAAACAAAAAAAAAAGGAACAGAATACCCTTACTACTTTTTGCTAAACTGTATTTTATTTAATAGTTTTAAATTTTCTGGTAAAAGCATTAAATCCTAAAACAGCTTATATTTTTAATTATTAGTCATAAGTAATCCTTTTATAGGGGCCAAAAACAGTATATTTCTTTTATTTTTTCACTGGGCTGCAATAAGTGATAATATTTCACATTGGCATTGTGGGATGGGATTGCAGAAAGAATTTCAGCTGCTTTTAACAACTCTAAAAAAAAACTTCTGTAGCAGCTTAGTTAAGGGGGTTTTACACTACAGCTTTTAATGATGGCATTTTTCTAATCTACTTGAGTTTTCTGTTTTTTTCTTTGTTATTGTTAAAAAAAAACTATTTTAAAATCCGGATGCTTACGCAAAATCCTCCTGGTCACACCTAAATGTAGTAAAAACCCGGATATGTCAGGGCAAATCCGGACGTCTGGTAACCCTAGTTCCAAAGCAACTTAATACTTAGAAAGACCCATCCACCATCATTAACAGGGTAACCTACAGGGATTAATAAATCTGAATGTCATATCAAATCAACAGAAATTAATTTACTGCTAATACCCCACCCATTAAACCTACAACGAAACCATGTAAATTAATGAAAAATTCACAAAGTTTGCTGTTGAATTTAACCTGCATCAAGTTTTACTTTAAAGACTAGTAATTACATGCACAGTCGCTTGATAAATATTAAATTGGCTTACCACTCCAGTGATTAAATATTCATCATTTACTGTTTCCTGCGAGGTTTCCTGATTTTCAAGAAAATCAGTGAAACTAATTTCAATAGTTTCACTCTCCAGATGGTCGTCATTTAATTGAAGCTCAGGCTGGACATATAGTCCAGCTTCTACAATGTTTACACCTTCTATAGAAATTTTTGAAATTAGAGCTAATACTCTCTCTTCCAAATCTGTAAGAGGTTTTACAGATGGTCCTCCTCCAGTGCCTACATGTGCATACTTTATGTCTCTCGCACGGCGTCTCACACATGTTTTCATTTCACTGACTACCTAAGAAAAAAAAAAATGTTTTTTAACAGTGCACTTAGCGTACCTTGTATTACTTACATCCTTCCATTGTTTTATGGTCTTAGCTGGCCCAATTTTATTTAACTCGCTTGCAAAGTGTTCCCATACTTTGTTTAATTTTGTAACATCCAACGGGTTTATTTTCCCACCATGAAGTAAACTATTCTCTTCTAACAAATTAATTATCAACTCCTTTTGTTTTTTGGTAGTACGTGGTGCACGAGACATTTTTTATTTTACACGTGCCTTCTTTTGTTTATATAGGCGAGTTCGGATAGTCAGGGGCTGGAGCGGGACAAAAGCAGAGTTTTTTTAGGGTGCGTTTAAATGACATTTAAGCATGTTAAACTGTCACTAATCGGACTAAACCGAACGCTAAAAGGGTCGTTTGGAGTAAAAAGTGTTAAAGGAGTTAAAGGAACTTGGCAGACCGAACGCAATGAGAGTGGAACAGGGTTGTTTTCAAATTTTATTCTAATCCTTCAAAATTAGTTCAAATGAATCTGTAATGCGATGTTGTCAAGATCTCAAATGTTCTCCTGTCATTTTTAAGGAACTCCGATAAAATGAATAATTTTTAACAGGCCTCTAAAATTTGTGTATACAGAATACCATTTTTGGGTAAAGAAAATAACGGATCGCTAAAAGTTCAATTTTTAAAGGCCTCTAAAATTTAACGGTTTAAAAACATTTCTTTATTCACTAAGTACTGTCAATATTTAACAGGATACCTTTAAGATTTATTATTTTTAAAAAGGGTTCTTAAAATACACCTTTAAGTTTTGATATAAAGTAAAATGGCGTTTTATGATGTAATTGGAGAAGTTTTGATAGAAGAAATACTCGAAAATGAAGAAAGGTTTGAAGTAGATAATAGTTTTAATATAAAGCTAATACCTACATTTAATATTTCAGGGCAGAATTTAGGTTACATCAAAGGTCAATTAGAGACTTAAGCGACCCATTCGAATTGCCAAATGAATATTTTAAAAACATTTTTAGATTTACTAAAGATGTAACCCGAATTATAATTAATCTCATAGAACCACACATGTTGCCAACACAAAGGAATACTGCAATACCATCATGTATAAAGATACTTGCCACTTTACATTTTTTTGCAACTGGAGGATACCAACTATCTACAGGTCAGGGATATAATTTTGCAATTAGTCAACCAACTATGAGTAGAGCTATAGATGAAGTGACTAATATAATTTACAGTCATTTATTACCAATTTGGATTGTTTTTCCAGATTCGGAAAATAAAAGAAACCAAATTATAAACAGATTTCAGGAAAAATATAATTTTCCTAGATGTTTGGGGGCTATCGATTGCACCCATATTGCAATTATTTCACCTCCTGAGGACTATCCAAGTTTGCCATACTATTCTAGAAAAGGGTATTATAGCATTAACTGTCAAATTATTGTAGACAGTGATTTGAATATATTAAGCATGAATGCTAGATTTCCTGGATCTACTCATGATGCAGCAATTTGGCAAGCTTCAAATGCAAGAGTACTAATGGAAAATATGTACATTCAAGGAAACAATTGTTTTCTCATAGGAGATTCTGGCTATCCATTGCAACCATTTTTATTGACTCCATTTGAAAATCCTGAAGAAAATACCCCAGAGAGTAATTACAATTATTCTTTTATTCGAGCCAGAACTGTTGTAGAAAGATTGAATGGAGTCTTAAAGTCCAGATTTAGATGTTTACTAAAACATCGAGTTTTAAATTATGATCCAGTAAAAGCAGGAAAAATAATTTATAGTTGTGGAGTCCTGCATAATATTGCTCAATATTATAAAGACAACATTCCAGAGGAAGAAATTGAAGATATGGATGGAGACA